GACGTCGGGCAATGGAATCGATGGCATGTGTTCAAAAGTAAACGGCTACCTCTCCGATCTTTCTCGCTTCTTTTCTGCTTCGGCGTCACTTTGGACAGTCTGTGCTCTTTCACTCCTCACACGACCGCGATAACTGCCAAAGTACAGAGCCGCAACAAAATCCTCAAGTCGCTTGCCGGCAGCTCATGGGGAAAGGACAAGGAAACGTTGTTGGCAACATACAAGGCAATCGGCCGGCCGGTCCTCAATTATGCAGCCGCAATATGGTCGCCTGGATGTAGTGACACACAGAATAAGAAGCTTCAGACTTGTCAGAACACTGCACTCCGGACTATCACGGGGTGCCTCTTGATGTCCCCAATCGAACACCTACATAGCGAGGCCCGTATGCTTCCAGTGAAGGAACATAACGAGCTCCTCTCCAAGCAGTTTCTGCTGGGATGTTTTCGCAGAAACCACCCCTGCAGACGCCTGCTTGCAGCGGAGCAGCCTCCTAGGAACATCAAGAGGTCATTCCTTGACTACGTCGACGACATCAGACAGCACGCCGACCAGACTTCGGACGCAACTAACTTCAGACAAGCACTGACCGCCATTCACAGTGGAGCCATTAACACCTTCACCTTCTCCCTTTCAGTGAATGGCGTAATACGAGTCAAACCACCACCCATTGCAGACACAGAGCTCGAATTGCCTCGCGAATCTAGAGTGACCCTCGCGCAACTTCGTTCTGGATACTGTAGCAGGTTAAACTCCTACCTATCCAGAATAGACCCTGACATACCAAACACATGTCCTGCATGCAATGAGTCTCCGCATGACACTAACCACCTCTTTGCATGCCCAACAAACCCCACTCATCTAACACCCCTTTCCCTATGGTCCGACCCCGTCGAAACAGCTCGTTTCCTGGGCCTTCCGTTAGATGACCTCGACGACAACGAATCTAGAATTTATCACCCAAACGGGGATTAGATAATCGTTGTAACAACAACAACAACTGTTATTAGAGAGAGGTTCTTTCTAAATTTCATTAAGACTACTTACATACTGACCGATATATGCGGTGTAAAATCAACCGGAAGTTCGAAAATGGCCACGAATTCAGAACACATCTTAATGTTTTTAGTAGGCATTGATTTTTTTCCATTGATCTAATACGTTCCTAGAAAAAATCCAGTTGCTTGTTGGCACTTCCACAAGTATCAAATTCCGTTACTTTTTACCCGTTTTTTTTTTATCAGTCATAAAATAAACGGAAAGCGAAAGTGCTAATTTAAAGCTGGAGACAAATTTGCTAGTTTGGTGAGATTTACGGTTTTAGTTTCGATGTAGACAACAAAACTCGAGGTAATTATAAGCATAAGTTTGAGAAATTTTAAAATTAGTCTTGCCGGTTGAAATTAGATATGACAACAGGTCGCTGGTGTTTAGAAGCAAAGAGGGGGATGATCCATGAGCTTAAGAGCCAAGAAAGAACAATAGCAGAGATAACTTGCTTACTGAAATGTTCACGGAAAATGGTAAACACCTCCATACAACATGTACAAAAGTTTGGCAAAAGAAGACGAAAAAATTCGAGGGATTTCTGTTTAGGACAGGTTGAAAAGCTTTAAGGACATACAGAAGGAATTGGAGGCAAATTACGATATAGCTGTATACTCTAGAACTGTGAAGCGTTGGCTTAGTTGCGAGGACTTGAAAACCATATCATACCATTCGCTGAGTACAAGCTGCCTTTGATATGGATTTTTATGCATCATAACGATTCAAAGGACACATCGCGACTCGTAAAGAATTTCTTAGAAAACAAAATAAATGCCCAGCTTAGTCTTCCGATCCAAATCCAATTTCCAAGAATTTGTGAAATAATATCGAGCATCATGGGAAACAAAAAGAATTCCAAAAAAACGGTGCGAGATTTTAGTTGAAAGTTTAAGTAGAAGATGTGTAGAAGTTGTCAAAAAGAGAGGATTTTCAACCAAATACTAAAATAAGAATTCAATTTTGTTATCAAATTATCAAAAATAGAGGATTTACAACTCAATACTAAAATAAGAATTCAATTTTGTCAAGGTAAGTTTTAGAAGTCGATCCAAATTGAAGGAATTGGTGAATGTGTTAACTTCCTGTCAAGGCTAAGAAATCTAATAATTAATAGATATAATACTGCACTAAAAAGATGCATTCACATATTAATGTTAAAACAATATTTAAGTTTAAAATTTTTCACCTAATTAGCCTAATAAACTTGATTTTCTGCTTTAAAAACGTGATCACCACTGTATATGGGAGATAAAGGAAATATGAACCTGATTTCACCCATTTTTGGCATAAGGGAATGCTGTAATCACAAAAATATTATTATTCTGGTTCTTTAAAAAGTTATAGTCCGATTTCAAAACGTTTTGAAATACCTTATTTGTGCAAAGTTTTATTGTGAATGCTTCATTGTTGTTTGATTTGTATACGGTAAAGTGAAAGAATTAGATGGAATTCAAAAGTTTGTTATATAGGAAGCAAGCATGGTTGTCATCCGATTTCGTTCATTTTCACAATAGGTGATATAAATGATTGGGTAACTCACACTAAATTTGGTTGAAATTGGTTCTGTATAGCCTGATATATAGGATTTCACCTTAAGGTGGGCGGTGCACGCCCATTGTCCGAATGTTGTACCTGCTCCTATAAAGCCATTCCCTATCATCCTGCTTGTGAAATTCAATGCTTGTGGCGCATTTATTCACTGACACTGATTCACACTTTTAGTAGTTTTCAACATAAACGTTATATTATTATCTGATTTATTTAAGATTATCGAAGTATATAAACAAGTACTAAAAAATTTCCTCTCAGAAAATTTGGTTGAGTTACATTCAGCGGTTTGGAAGATATGTACATTTAACCATATAAAGCGCGGAGCCACGCCCACTTTTAAGACAGTTTTGACAAACAGGAGTCCCTCGCCTCTGTGATCCCCTGTTTAAAATTACAACCTTTTATCTTTATGTAGTGCTTAGTTCTGGCACTTCATGTGTTTTCGCTTAACAATTTGCCCGTCTACAATACCAATCTTCCTTGCGTGCCAAGGAACACGTGTACGAAGTTTCATCATAATATATTAATTTTTCCTCAAGTTATAGCATGCACGGACGGACCGGCGGATTGACGCACAGACAAACAGTCACCCGGATTTCAACTCATCTCGTCATTCTGATCATTTATGAATATCTCGATTAGTTTTAAGTGATACAAACAACCGTTAGGTGAACAAAACTATTACTCTGTGCAACCTGTTGCAAGAGTATAAAAATTAATTTATTATAATTTATGGTGGCTCAGTAATTACTTGAGATAGTCCGGAGTATTTGGTCACAAATTCAAATATCAGCCAAAAATATTATAATTTGGCAAAATTACTATCAAAATAGCGACTTAGGAAACTGAATACTAAATAAACCGATTTTTAATTTAGAGGTATGCTTGATCTCCTGGAATCAATAGAAAAATTCGATTCAATGCGGAAGAAGTTATACTGAATGGTTTGTATGTTCCTCCCCAATTTGATTTATCGATTTATTTGCATCATATTTTAATGTTAAGGTGCGTAAAATTAATTTTTATACTCTGAACAGGGTATATTAACTTTGCCACGAAGTTTGTAACACCAAGAAGGAAACTTCGGAGACCCTATAAATTATATACATAAATAATCAGCATGATAAGCTGAGTTGATTTAGCCATGTCCGTCTGTCTGTATATATATAAACTAGTCCCTCAGTTTTTAAGCTATCGATCTGAAATTTTGCACCTGTCCAGGAAGCTGCAGATTTGTTGGAACGCCCGATATCGGACCACTATAGCATATAGCTGCCATACGAACTGAACAATCGAAATCAAGTATTTGTATGAAAAACTGTTTCATTTGACGATGTATCTTCACGAAATTTGGCATGGGTTATTTTCTAAGGCAACAATGTAATCTCCGAAGAAATTGTTTAGATCGGATGATTATAGCATATAGCTACCATACAAACTGAACGATCGGACTAAAGTGCTTGCTTAATAATCTCCGAAAAAATTGTTCTGATCAGATCACTATAGCATATAGCTGCCATACAAACTGAACGATCGGAATCAAGTGCTTGTATGGAAAACTCTTTCATTTCACGAGGTATATTGACGAAATTTGACATGAATTATTATTTAAGGCAACAATACATTCTCTGAAGAAATTGTATAGATCAGATTACTGTAGCATATAGCTGCTATACAAACTGAACATTCCGATCGTTCATGTGATCGATCAAGTGCTTGTATGGAAAACTCTTTCTCTTCTACTTCTTATCTTCACGAAACTCGGCATGGATTATTATTTAAGGCAATGATCCAATCTCCGAAGAAACTGTATAGATCGTTTGACTATATAGCATATAGCTGCCATATTAACTGAACGATCGGAGTAAAGTGCTTGCATGGACAACTTGTTTATTTGACGAGGTATCTTCACGAAATTAGGCACGAGTTATTGTTTAAGGCAACAATGTATTCTGCGCAGAAATCGGAATCAAGTTTTTGTAAGGAGCCTTTGTATTTGTGAAGGGTATTATAGCTTCGATGCAACCGAAGTTAACGTTTTTTCTCGTTTTATCAAAGATTGTGTTAGGTGCTTGTTATCGATCGAGTTTATCAGAGAACATCATTGGCCATGAAATTATACCGTATTATTTTTAAGTAAGTGAGATGGCCGAACTGTGTCTAAACAAATTTATGTGAATAATGCATCTTAAGTCCTTGTGATGCGCCTATGTGCTCTATCTATCTAGCCTATGTGATTTAATGGTGTCTGAAAGGAGTCGATCCGGCTTATCTATAGCATACATATATTTCAAAAGTGATACTAAAAATACAATGTTATTGTCAATGATATTCCCTGAGTAACTAGGTTAATAAATAAATGTTCAATGTATTATAAAAAGTTGTATAATCAAATATCATACCTTGCAATCCTTTGTACTCGTTTGCCAAATGCGAATAGAGTGATCATTTGAACAAGAAGCAAATATACTCCCATCAAGGTGTACACGAACCAAACGCACCCATTCTCTATGGCCAGTATATGTTTTTACACAGTATCTAATAATAATGGAAAAATAACACATACTTAACCATAAATGCTAATCAATTAGATTTCTTACCCCGTGGCCACTTCCCACATCTTTATGGTTTTGTCTCGTGATGCTGAAATTACGTAATCTCCAGCTGGCACAAACGCCACAGACGAAACATTATGGTCATGTCCATGCATTGTTTTTACGCATTCGTAACTTTGTTGAAAATCCCATAATTTAATGGATAAATCAGCGCTACATGATACTAAAATATAAATATAGTATTAAATAAATAAGACAGATACCGTCATTAATACACACCCAAAAGCTTTCCTTGGGCGTCAAATGCTACGTCTTGGACAGAATCGGTGTGACCTTTTAAAGTACGTTCATATTCTCCAGTTTCGAAATCCCAAATTTTTATAGTAGCATCCTCCGATGATGAAACCATCAATCCAAAAATTGGGTGAAATGCCACCTAATGAAAAACAGCAGTTATTGTACTTTATTTTGATAACTATTACACAGGTTCACAAAAAAAAATTGGAAAGGAAAGCGGTCGAGTTTTCGAATGAAAAAAATTTACTTCGACTGTCTCGACGGATTTTTTTATTATTTTCAGGACCTTAGGCAATTGGAACGTTTTCTTGCAGGTCACCGTAGCCGCATAGGGGGTGTGATGGTTTGGGGTTATGGAACAACTGAGCTACAGTTTCAAACATCAAAAATGACTGCATCTTCGTACAAACAAATACTCGAGTCTTCATTTCTGAAATTGGACATTGCCAATGCTCTGATCCACACCGCAATTGTATTAAAATCTTGGATTACAGCTCAAAATGTGAATTTGTTGCAATGGCCACCCTATTTTCTTGACCTTAGTATAATGAAAAACGTTTGAGGGTGGGTGTTCCGTAAGGTTTATGAGTCAGGCCGTCGATTCGATGATCTGGAATCCCTTATAGCAGCGATAAAAATTGCATGGAGTGAGATATCCTTGGACTATTTAAAAAGCCTTTAGGATAGCCTTCAGAACAAAATTTTTTCAATTATCCTAAGTAAAGAAGGCAGTACTAAATACTAAATACATTAATTTGTAAAACTTTTACACTTGTTAGGTCAATCTAAATAAATTCTTGTAGTGAGACTCCTATACCTATTCAAGTGACGCAAATTTAAAATCACATTTTTTGAGTTATTCATCAAAACACCGTATACAAACAAAATTATGAAAGATATATTTTTCATTTTCACAATACTTATTTTAAAAAAATCCGTCTTCAAAACTAAGCTTAGTCGGAGCGATGTCTAAATTAAGAGATATAGGCTCAAATATTGTATGCAAGTTGTGTAGTAAACATTTAAGACGGTGGGCACACAGTAAACATAATCATTTAAAGAAGGCCACACTAGGCTATGATTTGGACAAAACCAAAAAATCACAATGATCACTGTTATTTTCATGTTTTAGAATTACATCATATATACAAAAGAAAAATTGCATATCTTTATTTACCGTCTGCTAAAAGACTGTGTTCAGGTGAGGTGCCATCTCCTAAGAGTCAAGATCTATCAAATCTATCAGATTTGTAGGATACAGAGAGGAGGATATTTTTATATCTGTAGCGCCTCCTCATTATGCTCTTAAGTGAATTGATTAGAGACCTTGACTTTTTTAAAGAACAATCCTTGCTACTAATATCTAGACTCCATTGCAAATTAATTGGGAAACTTGATTATTATTTCATTGTTTCAATATCCCGAAAATGGGTTGAAAAGCTACTGTTGCGCGTTTTTTTTCGGTATATGTCATTAATTTGAAGCATAAACAAAATACTATTGGTGTATGAATTAATTCGTGCGGTTTTCTAAGAGAGGACTCTACTAGTATTATTTCGCGTCGTGTTTATCTGTGGCTATATTCATTTTAAAGGTACTGTCATTTCGCGTCGTTTTCAGTAGATGTCATTTGTTTCAGCGTGAACAACAATTTGTTTCATTCATTTGAAAATGTCGAAATTTGTACCAGATAAAGTGTTTTTGTGGGGAGTTCTTCTGCATTACTTTAACATGAAGAAAAGTGCTACCGAAAGCCATCGTATTTTACTGGACGTTTATGGTGACCATGTTTTAGCCGAACGAACGTCCCAAAAACGGAGAACGACCCGGACAGCCAAAAAAATTTCAAGACGAAGAATTGGAGACAGTGCTCGACGCAGATGCATGCCAGACGTAAGAAGAACTTGCAAAAGTATTAGGAGTTGATCAAGCAACCGTTTCCAGACGATTAAAATCATAAGGATTCATCCAGAAGCTTGGAAATTGCTTGCCTTTTGTATTAAAGCAAAGAGACGTCGAACGTCGATTCTGCATGTTGGAAATGTTGCTTCAACGCCACCAAAAGAAGTAATTTTTGCATCGGATTGTCACTGGCAATGAAAAATGAATTCATTATGATAACCCAAAGCGCAAGAGATCGTATGTGAAGCCCGGCCAACCATCGACATCCACGGCAAAGCTGAATATCCATGGTGCCAAGATTATGCGATGTATTTGGTGGGACCACAAGGGTGTGCTCTACTATGAGCTATTGAAATCGGGTCAGACGATCAATGGGGACCTCTACCGAAGACAATTGATTCGTTTGAAAAAGGCCATCGCGGAAAAACGACCAGAATATGCGCCCAGACACGAATCAATAATTTTCCATCATGACAACGCTCGGCCAGTTAAAAACTATTTGGAAAATTGTGGGTGGGAAGTTCTACCTCATCCCCCTTATAACACAGACATAGCACTTTCCGATTACCACTTGTTCAGATCAGAAATATCAGAAATTGACTCGATTCTTTCTTGACCTCCAAGCCGGAGAAGTTCTTTTGGGATGGGATCCACAAACTGCCAGAAAGATGGGCAAACATCGTAGCTTCCGATGGGCAATACATTGAATACTAAATGTATAACTATTTTTTTTACAATAAAGTCTTCATTTTCGAAAAAACCGCACGAGTTAATGCATACACCCAATTTTTTTTCTTCAAATATATCTAAAAGGCCAAAGAAAAAGGGCTTTTGCGATAAGTTTTTCTTCTCTACCTAATGTGAAGATCGTCGTATTCTCGTGGAAGTTTAGCGAACATACCAAAAGTGAATTAACGATTTAAAAGTGATTATTTTGGCTTAGAAGACGAAGAACATCCTGAGCAGCCAAAGAAGTATAATGATTAGGAATGGAAAGCAGTACTCGAAGAACATTGTTTCCAAACATAAGAATAGCTCGCAGAATCGTTTTGAATCACTCAAGTAGCCATTTTTAAATGTTTAAAAGCCGCATTCAAAAGCAAGGCTATTGGATGGCATATAATTTGAAGCCAAAAGAAAACATGCTTGAACGCTACAAAAAGAAATCGCTTTTACAGCTCATTGTGACTGGTGATAAAAATTGGATCCATTACGACCCTAAATGCAGAAAATTATGTGAAACCTCACCAACCACGCAAATCAACGGCAAAGCTGAATATTCATGACGCCAATGTAATGCTCTGTATTCGGTGGGATCAGAAGGGTGTACTGTATTATTAGCTTCTAAAATCGAAGAACCACGCTGCCGACAACAACGCCAATTGAAGCAAGCGATTGCCGGAAAACGTCCGGAATTTGCGCCTAGACACGAGGTAAAATATTCCCTTATGTCCAATAGCAACCATTGATTTGAAGATTTAAGTATATAGCTCCATTAATTAATTTATGTAGAAATATTATGGACTACGATGATATGATACCCGCCAAGGATATTCCGAGCCGGCCTCGTGTTCGCATTTGGCTTCATCCTCTAGAGAAGCCAGGCGAAAAGTTCCTGCCGTGCATCAAGATGAAAAACAAGGCACAGTAGATACCACAGTGGTAAAGGTGGAGGCAGAAAGAGGTAACTTCTTTCTGGTTTCCTCTTACATGGTCTACGACGTGAAACCAGAATATCTATCAAGATTAACAGAGGAGAACAGCAGGGATGATATTCTAATAGGGGGTGACGCCAACGCTAGACACACTATATGGGGAAGCTCCAAAACAAACATCAGGTGTGAGTCGCTCTTACAATATATATTAAATAGCAATTTAAGAAATTATAATAGGGCGACAAGCCAACTTTCATTTTCTCAAGCTCGGTAAATTTTTCGGTTTGGGAGGAAGTATTGGACCTAACGCTGTCGATAGAAACAGAAAGCCTGGTCATTGGCGTCCGAGGTCCAGCCCATGTCGGATCACTCCTGGATACTCTTTAACATTCGCGAGAAATTCAATACTCCCCTCCAATATCGAAACCCTAGAAGAACAGCATGGGATAAATTTACCGATAGCCCCAAGCTTAGTAAATAGCAAATATCAGAATAAAATCAATATTGTTCAAGAATTAGATGAAGAGGTGGAAGAGTTAGAAACGTCTTAACCATCTTTTTCAACCAATCTACACCATTAACAATTCTCAAAAAGAGGAAATCGCTTTCTTGGCGGAACGTTGACCTTGGGAACCTCAGAACCCACTTGAGAAAAGCTTTCAATGAAAGTTATAGGATCAAAGTTTGACAGCAAAAGACTCATGTCAATTTTTGTGCACATCAATAGAAAGAATCCAATATATCTTATTTCAAAACGAAGGACTTCCTCCGCAGGAGAATCCCTAGAGGAGCCCATGAAAAGGTACTTCCCAGGCAACCAGCAACTGCATTGGAGGTACAACCGGAACTATATGCGAGGACAACAGACCAATACGGCAGCATAGTAAGAAAGAAGATTATATATGGCAGGCCAGCATCTTCCAAGAGGAAGTACTAGGTATAGAGATGGACGGTGAAGTTCTATTGAATAACTACCTGAGGATACAGAAAGGAACCATATTTACGGACAGCCAGGCGGCATTGCTTGCATTGTCGACACCACAGATTAATTCCAACGTAGTCAACAATTGCAGGAAGGCTTTAAGCTTAAGCCGGTGGTCAACTCCACATGTCAATAATTTGGGCGAGCTTTCTATGTATTTTGAGCAAATCGCGTAGAGCAGATGGAATACAACAACAAGCTGCAGGAGACCAAAGTAGATATGGCCCAAATATGACAGAAATATAGGACTTACTATCCAGGTCCAGAGAAAGCATATACAGACTTAAAGCTGCTATAACGGGACACCGGCCTTTTGGGGAGCATGCGCTAAATTTGGTCCTGCCTTATAACAATAGCTGCCGCAGCTGCAAACAAGAAGGGAATATAGAAACGGTCTTTTACTTTCTCTGCGAATGCCCAGCTCTATCACAATTCCGACACAAAATACTTAGAACCCATAAGTCACCAAAGCGTGAATGGTTGTCCATGGTTGTAAGCATAACGAATATAAGTAGTTTCACTGAGAGAACCAAATGGTTTGCGCTAGACTATAAGGTCTCACAACAGTGCATCAAAATGGCGCACCCAGCGCTAATTGGGCCCATGCTGGCAGCACTCCTAGCTACATATATATAATTTGATGAGGGTTTTCCCGTTTAATTTAGTTTGAATATGATATACTTTTACTTACCCGTGTAATGCTTGCACGATGTCCAGTTAAAGAAAATTTTTCCGGGGGACGTGGAATCCATTCGCCAGGGCTTCGTTTTGTTTTAGTAGGAGCGCCCTCAATAACCTCCTTCTCAGCTTCTGATAATTTCGCTTCTAACTCCATAACCTTTTTTTGCAATCGAATAACTGAAGTCCATTTTTTTTCTAAAAGTCCACTGAATTTCTTTTCATTTTCTGTAGAAACGTCGGCTTCTTTACGGAATACATCTAGGGACTCAGAGTAGCCGCTACTGCCTAAGTAATCGGCAATCGCTTGGTTCCTAAAATCCAATATTTTATACCAGTACTATGAAAACGGAAAGTATATATCTTACAGTTCCTCGCGCTGCCTCTGCGACAAAACCATTTTCATGTTCTTCGACAGAGCAGATGTCGACAATATTCGATTTTATCCTATGAAAGTTAATTATTTTAGGGAAGTTCCGCTGAAAATTTATGCAATTCTTTATTTAACTTGTATCAAACAACGCATTCTTTTTCAATTTACTATAAATATGCCAACTAAGTACGTGATAACCAAATATTTCATAATCTAATGGATTACATTGTTGGGTTCATTTATTACAACAAAGGGTTTATAGTTAAATGATATTTATTACAGAATTTACTGCACAATATACATGGACTTCTTTAAAAATTAAAAATAATTGAATAAATATCAAATTAGTTTGTATACAAAACTTTAGATGTTTCTAAGGCCTGAGTTTGTGTTGATATAAGAACTAGTTAAAAGTCATAATTTGTTACATAAATTAACACTAATATGAGAGAAATTTTGGGTTTCTTCGCTCTTTCTGCATACTATGCTTTAGGAATCATGATCGCTAAGATTTAAGAGACAAAACTTTAAATGTCTTCTAGGCCTTGAGTTTATGTTTGTATTTCACACAGTAACCGGTATAAAGTCAGTTTTCAATGTCTCTATTTATGCAAAAAGGGAAAAATCCCTCTTTCTTAAGTTATCACTTGTAGAGACATACTTTTACATACCTTCATTATGCCTGCATATCATCCAATACCTGAGCACCACTATTACAACATATAATAACTTTTGTTGTTCTACTTGACTTAACATAGTTAAATCATTTTATATATTCGGCGTTTTTTATTTAATTAATTTGATAATTATATTGACTTCTCAAAAGTTATCTTAGCTTAGTATATATTTAACTAGAGGCATTGACAATTCATCGTTTTTTTTTCATTCACAGTAGTGTTCTTGCTGTTTATTAATGATATCTCTTCAGTAATTGAATTCTCAAAATGTTTATTATACGCTAACGACGTAAAGCTTTTTAAATCATACACTTCAACTGAGGAAAGGGGTCTGTTGCAAACAGACTTAAACAATATGGTTGCATGGTGTGATGGAAATGATTTGCCATTGAATCTGAATAAATGTAAGACGATGTGCTTTTCCCGTAGATCTCTGCACCCCTCTTCTTATGTAATTAAACACCTGGAGCAAGTTTTTAACTATGTTGATTTGGGAGTTAATATGGACCCTAAGCTTAATTTTTGTCTTCATATTGATACCATGGTCTTGAAAGCAAAAGCTGTCCTCAGTTTTTTTAAACGTTGGTCTACAGAATTTAGAGATAGACCTATATTGGAATATGGCTCTGTTGTATGGAACCCTAACTACCAAATCCTTTCTGACAAGTTAGAGTCTGTTCAAAAACAATTTTTACTTTTCGCCTTAGCGCAATTCCGATGGGATTCTAGGGTAAGTCTACCTCCATACACTAGTCGTTTAAAACTTATTAATCTACCTACAGTTTCTAGTCGTAGGGAAATGCTTAGTATAATATTCTTAGTGAAAATCTTAAATGGAACAGTTTGCAGTTCTTTTCTCCTGTTTGAAATTAAATTTAATATCCCGGTTCGCTTTTCGAGGCAATTTAGACCTTTACTGATGAAATCCTGTAGATCAAATTTTGAACTAAACGAGCCATTTCACCATATATGTCATGATTTTAATTCTCATTCCAGCACATTTGACTTATCTGACTCACTTTTCAAAATTAAAAAGACCTTATTGTTTTCTCTTAATGAATGAAAATGCAACAATACATTAAATTGTAACTATAAATCTTAGCTGTTGAAATTTTTGTTTCTGTAGCTGAGCAGTTTTAGATCTCAACACTTAAAAAACTCGGCTGATTCCGCACGTATGCGGATTGCGCCCCTTGCGTCGGTTGGGCGGGAGGAGGGTAATCGTTGGGTTATTATTATTATTATTAGTTGGATTTTTGCAAATAAAAAAGTAGTTGACAATAAAATATATATAACCCTTATTTAGGCAGATGAATATATAAGCAAGTCGAATTCATGTGTATGGGTATTGAGTTAAAATTAAGACAAAAAAAACTTGTTTTGTTTTGAGTTTCTGTGTTCTCGTCCTCAAATTAACAAAATAAATATATTTCTATAGTATATCAATATTCCGTTTACAAATTTAAAAATTCGAACTAATCTTTTCTCCATATCAAACATTTTAAAATCAATTTCAGTTGACCTTTCTTTCTTGCATCACCAACACGATTCAAACTTAAGCGAAAATATGAAATAGGCTTGTTTATTTGTCAACGATTTAGGTATAAGCGTATGAAGGTCAAGTAGAACATTGTCATTTTTCGGAACGCCCGATATCGGCGTATAGCTGCCATACAAACTGAACGATCGGAATCAAGTAGTTAAGAATACTTTTTCATTTGAGGAGATATCTTTACGAAACTTGCATGGTATTACGAAAGGGAATGGTTCCAGATCGAGTCACTATAGCATAGCTGACATACAAACTGACCGATCAAAGTTCTGGTAAGGGATCTTATTTTTTTATTTTTTTTTTTTCTTTACAATAAATTGTAACTTCAGTTTTGTACTATTATTGTATACGAGGAATAAATCTTTACAAAAAATCGAACTCTTGTTAATTATTAAAAACATTTACGATACTGTAACACAAGAAAGAAGCCATAAAAAATGTGCCATTTATATGACGAGTGACTTTCTGTCCGTTCGTTCGTGCGTCTGCGATAGCGATAACTTTAAATAAAATTGAGATTTCGTGATGAAACGTTGTACACGTGTTCTTTGGTGAAATGGGAATTGGGGATCGGAGTATTCCCACGCTCAAAAAATGTCATTAAACTAAAACTGATAAAGTGCCCTAACTAACAGTAATTTAAGATACAACACTATAAGGTCATTTCAAGCAAGCTTGCTGAGAAGTGTACACTGTAAAAATGGATGAAACGGGTTAAAAACTACCAAAAGTGCGATAACTCACTTTTCAATAAGTTTTCCTGATTTGGCTCCCAACGCAAATGAAGAGGTTATCACCGAAACTAACGCCTATTTTGAGGCAAAAAACAAATTGTTCTACAAATTGAAATGTTAAATTAAGCCAATTTTGAGCAAAAAAACCGTGTTTTCTTTGTCAGACCAAATTTGATGTGTAACATTATTCAGACATTCCTATTTTACATTGTGAAAATGGAACAAATCGAACTACAACCATGCCTACCTACCGCATATGTATATCAAATTTTAAATTCAATATAATTCATTCATTTAACAGTTTATAAATCGAGAGTCAATCACTTTATTGAAATGAATTTTGCACAAATAGGGAATTTTATTAGGTACGATTTGACATCATCATCATTATGGAAATTTTTACCATTCAAGGAGTTTTGTAAAGATCGAAACAAAAAGTAATCCAAGGTCAGGACTATGTATATGGTGGATGCGGCAAAATCCCAACCAAGCTCCAATAATTTTCGCCGAGTGACCAAAGATGTGTGTGGCCTTGCATTGTCATGATGGAATACAACGCCTTTTCGATTTATCAATTCGGGCCGCTTTTCTTCAACTGCATTGTTTAATTTCGTTAGTTGTTCTATGTAGACAACAGAATTGGTCGTTCGATTGGGTGGTAAGAGTTCAAAGTGGACAATTCCTTTATAAACCCACCAAACTGATAACAACTTCTTTTGATGAATACCAGCTTTTGATGTTGTTTGAGCTGATTCACCTGGCCTGCTACACGATCTTTTCCGCTCGATATTGTTGTAAACAACCCATTTTTCATCGCCAGTTATCATTCGTTTTAAAAATGGATCATTTTCATTACGTTTCTTTAGCAAATCGCAGCTGTTAATGCGTTGCGTTAAATGGATTTCTTTCAGTTCGTGAGGAACCCATGTATCGAGTTTTTGAACATAGCCAAGTTGTTTTAAGTGATTTTCAATGCATGTTTGTGATACCTGAAGCTTCTCTGCAATCTCACGTGTTGTACTGTGACGATCCGAATCGATTATTGCTTTGATTAGGTCGTCATCAACTTCAACTGAACGATCAGAGCGTTTTTCATCTTTGAGTGAAAAATCACCAGAACGAAATTTGGCAAACCAATTTTGACACTGCCGTTCTTTTATGGCTTCGTCGCCATAAACAGCACGTAACTTTTTGTGAGCTTGTGATGCGTTTTTCCCTTTGCAAAAATAAAAAAGCAAAATATGACGAAAATGTTCCTTTTGATCTTCCATTTTTCAACGAACGCCAAACGAAAACTACGCAACCGATCAAAAAACTTTTTTTTTACTGATTGACAGCTGAATTGCCAACTATCAAATAACAAAATGTGTTTTACATTTGGACTACGCCAGCAAACCTAAAAATTCAATTGAAGCCATCTGAGTGAAATACGCAATTACTTAGTTGCCAACCCAATAATTCCATCCCACATCTAAAAATTATAGAGAGCATAATACTTGAGATCTAGTATTGAAATTTGGAGAACAATTTATAACAACAACATGCACATGTGCCAAAAATGAGTAAAATCAGCTCAATACATCCCCTAGCCCCATATACTTAATATAAATAATTATTTTCGAACTTTCGGTTACATATAATGATTTTCGTTAGTCTAGCAGACTGAATGCCCAATATATCGGTCAGTATGGGAATAATCTTCACAAAATTGCGTGAAAACATATTTTCGAGTATACTTATTTCAATCAGTTTAAATCTTCCCCTATCTTCAATATCCGCGACATAGTGATTTCCATTCATTTTGACTTTAAAGCATTTATGTCGGTGAATATGTGTGACATTTTAATGAAATTGGGGAATTTATATACTATTGCAACATATTGTTGTTTGTATTACCTAAAACTAATCAAGATAGATATAGGGTATTTTAAATTATAAAAATCATCAGTGTTCGTGTGTATGTTAAGTATGTAAGAACTCAAAAACGAGTCAACTGATATTCATGAAAGTTGGCATATATACTTGTAATATATGTAATTTGGTCCAACTTTAATGATAGGATAGTAATTATTTAAATTAATGGTCTCAATATTTAATAATTAATAATAAACTGATCACCAACATTGATAGTTGGTATATATGT